TTATTATGCAAATCGACTTTCATTTATAATTGAAAAATGCCAATCATGTAAAAATTTATATGAATCTATTAAAAACTTATTTTTCAAAAAATTGTAAAAATGGGCTGTTTCTATTGACAACATCCCATATTTTACAAATTAAAAATATTTTTAGAAAAATAAAATATATAAACAGATTATTATTACAAAATCTCAAAATCTGATTGGTTGGTTCATTGCACTGTTTTGCTGTAAGCTCCAAATGCATAAAATTCTTTAAAGTTTATTGATATTTAGATTTACTTTTTATTAAAATATAAAAAAATGAATTTTTGACAAAACTAGACTTAGGCCATAGATAAATATTTAGGTTTACTTAGATATATGTCTAAGTTCTTTTTCTTAGTTTTAGATTTAACTGATAAAACCTTTTCCAGCTATGTAAAAAGTTTTTGTTCAACATTAAAAAAAAAAAAGAATTTTTGGCACTTGGTTTGCGCGTGTAACGTTACACCTGATCTTGAAATCTGATTGGTAGTTAGGCACTAACCTGTCACACATTCCGGACTTGCAATACATGCAATCGACTTATCGACTTCAACTTCAGTTAAAGTTTCGAACGCGAACAGCGCATGATCGATCATATAAATTTTATCGATCACTGTCTCTAATAGTTAAACGTAAAAGCGGAAATTTTTAGCCAATAAGTTTTGTTCGGTTATTAGAAATCTTTCGAAAAGTAATGTCACAGTTGATGCTAAACTTTGGAGTCTCAGTTTGAAAATATAGACCTACTAAAATCACGCATGAGTGCTGTCAAAAAAGGAAAGTAAAATTTACGATTCACTGTACTGGGTTATGATCAATATTTTATTTGAGCGTATTTTGTACTGATACTACCAGAACGGTCACTTGAAGTACCCATATCGATATACTCTTTCATTTTAAATCTAACCCTAAATCCTAGCCCCACCCTAAAAAAAGCTAAAAAAAAAAAAACACCCCAAGAATCTTAAATTTCAGATCGATATTGAAATATACCCCAATTTCATATATTACATTTATTTCATTGATTTCCTTCTCCTTTTTGTGTATATGCATATCAAGAAAATATTTATACTTCTTTTACAATGGATTCTGACACTCTAATTATCTTCAAAGTGACTTGCTCTAATGAACCCGCAATATTGCGTCGTATTACGTTTACAAAGATAGATGATGTTTCTTATCAAGCCTTATACTCAAATCTATCGCTACTTTTCGAGATTAATGATTTTAAAATTCGGTATATTGATGAAGATAAAGACGCCATTGCTATTGATAATGACTTTGATTTGCAGGAAGCTATAAAACACAATAAATCCCGTTCTAAAGGAAATTCTCGCCTTGTTATCCGGTTGACCTTGGAAGTAACATCCTTTCCTACCGATCAGGGGTTTTCTAATCATAGTCATCCTGATAGTATAGCACAGAATTTTGTCACCCAATTCAGCGATGAGTCTCTGAGTATCCACCGTCACAACGATAATAATACTTTCTTATCCATTCCTCGCACTTCTCATATATTCACAAATTCTAGGCAATTAAACGGGAGCTATCATAATGCAATTTGTGATTACTGTGACTCGGTAATTGCGGGCGTTCGCTATAAATGCATTAATTGTCCAGATTTTGATTTATGTAACAATTGCGTTGCTCTTGCACCAATACAACATCCGGGTCACACATTTATACCGATTCATAGAAACGGTGAGCCTGAAATCAAACCGTCAAATTCTGTATTCCACCCTGGAATCAGATGTGATGCTTGTGGAAAAGCTATTCGTGGAGTTAGGTATAAATGTGGTAACTGCGTTGACTTTGATCTGTGTGGAAATTGTGAAGCAGATCCTATCAGCAAACATGATGAAAATCACATTTTCATAAAGATCAAGAAACCTGTGCTGAAACGACTTCGAACAAATAAACCATTATTACATCATTTGTACTCGGAAGTTGATCAAAAAACTAGCCATGGTAAATACAGCAGACGATCTTCTCAATCAAGAAATATTCAAAGTGAGATGGAGTTTGTATCAAAGCAAACCTTGGTTGAGTCTAATTCTGATGAATCGAGTTTAAACCGGTTAAATCCTTTAATCAGTCCACTTAATGGTGAAGATAATACTAGTGAATCGGTTATCAGCCGGGCTCCAATCGCTTTATATAATGGTCCTTTTTTTATGGCCAGCTTTAATATATCACCTCCAACTCCTGAAAATCTTACGCGAGAAAAAGTCCAAACCCCTATTGCTACAAACACTTTGGACATCCCTTGTTCACCTTCACCGTCCGTAACCACTATTGCGTCTCAGGACGAAGACGATGATATCCCCATGTCGTAGGCAATTGGATCGAACTTTTTTTTTTTTTGTGTGAAATGGAGCAATTGAGCCTTTTTTTTTCTTTATATATATAAATTTTTGGTATAATAATTTCAATTAAATATATACTAGGCGTAGTGGTATGGTTAAAAGAATTGACATTGGCCAAAATTCATGCCCTGACGTACTATAGGCATCCTATAATATGTATAATTACATATACTTACATCTTAATAAAATATTGTATCCTATCTGACAAACCCGTATAATTATGGTGCAGCGACACACTGTTATTTTAACGTGTTATGATGCAATGCCAAATATTCGATTTTGCACAAATCTTGGGTCAATCATTTTTGGCATAAAAGCAATTTTTGTGCTAGAAGTATTTAAATTCTCGTAATTAGGGCAACATTGTACTATTAATGAAAACAAATTTGAGATAATCACATTTTAAAAACTAAATACTTAAAAGTTTTATATAATAAAAATTTTTTAAAAAAATAAAAAAAGTTAACTATATATTAAACAAATTATTTATTAAATAAAATAATGAAAAGATGTAGTAATATAGTGTAATATCAAGTTGCAAAAGTAGTAACAAAAAGTATAAAGCTTAAATCTTACTAAAGATATTTTAAATAAAACATCTTTGCCAATTAGTCAAATATATAATTTATAACTTTAGTTATACTATAGTGCTCCTAGGTTCGGTTCGGGTCTGGTCCGGCTTCGACCAGATTCAGACTTTAAATTTTATTAATTTCAAACTTCAGACTAGACTCAAACTCTATTATAAGTCTGGTCCGGGTTTGGTCCAAAGTCTGCAGACTAGTCTGAGTCTAAATATATTTTTGAGTATTAAATAAGTTTACTTAGAGCACAAAGTTAGAATTAATTGGTAAAATTTTGAGAATCATAATATTTTATATAATTTTATTAATAAAATACTAAAAAATGTTATTATTCTCAAAATTTTACTAATTGATTCTAACTTTGTATTTTAAGAAAATTTATTCAGCATATAAAAATACATTATATTGATATGTTTAATTTTATATTTCAAGTGAAGATACTTAATTTTAGATTTTTTTTTCAAAAAATTTAAAATTAAATATCTTTTTTAAATTTTTAAAAATTATAAAATTAAATTTTTTTTTCTTTTAGGCAGTCTTGTCAATATTTTATTAGGCTTTATAAATTTTAATATATTAAATACAAAATTTTCAAGCAGCTACTCTGCTTGACACCTAACTTACAAATATTAACTTACTCAGTTGTTTAAAGAATATCTGGGCCCTCAAAAGTAGAAACCACCGAATTTGACTTTTTAAAAAAATTTGGTTGCTTAACTTTCAAGACCTATATCTCAATGAATTTCAAAGCTATTTCAATAATTTAAATTTTAAAATAAACTTTAAGATTTAATATTTCTTTTAAAATTTAAATTATTAAAATAGCTTTGAAATTCATTGAGATATAGGTCTTGAAAGTTAAGCAACCAAATTTTTTTAAAAAGTCAAATTCGGTGGTTTCTACTTTTGAGGGCCCATCTATATACAACCTGCTATATTAGAATTTTACTTTTTATTAATTAATTTTGTTTCAGGCTAGCTAATATATCATCAGATAGTTTCTATAGCCTGTTAGACTACTAATTTTCTCACCAATCTGTATGCTAGCCATGTTTGATTTATTTATCATCTTTTTTTTTGACAAAATTAATATATTTTTTTAGTATGTTTTTTTTTTCTTTGTTATTTATCTTTTTTTTTTTTTTTTAATTTTTTAATATCTTTATTTTTTAAAACTTTTCTCTTTTCTTTTGCTGATATTTTATATTTTTTTCCTATTTATTTACTAGCTTACATCTTGCTATCCAGATATTAAGCTTATTCAAGTTTTCTAAAATATAGCAATAAAGTCTGTTGCTTGATATTTTGTATTGAAGAGAGATCTTATTTCTATATAATCTTGTTTAGTAATAAGACTATGTATCTATTATTCTTTTCTTTTTAATTTTTTATCTATATTATCCTTCTCTATTATTATAAGAACTTCTTTTTTAGTTTCTAAATTTGTATAGAACCAAATCGGCATCATAACATAATTATATATAAATAACGCTTCTTTCAAAATACAATAATACAACAAAGAAATAATTACACGAAGAAAGATATTTACATTATCCACAAATTTACTAATACGCCGTCCTTTATCTATTTTTTCAGAAAAGTTTACAAAGAATCTAAATAATCACATTATTTCTTTGTTACTTGGCGATATTTTAATTAGTACTAAATATAGCAAGAAGTATACAATATTGGGCAAAAATTGTCGAATAACGGTAATTTGGCAAATGGGCACGTGCCGCTTTGCGGCACGTGTAGCCAATCATTTGTCAAATTACCGTATTCGACAATTTGCCCAATATTGGTGTTATCCGGCAATTTATGATCATGATTGGTAGGGAGTCGCTCGCTGAGTTTTATTTTTTGAATATTGGAATAACATAATTATATCGTAACACATGAAAAAAATAACAGAAAGAAATTTTTTCATGATCATATGAGTTTGCCGGATAACATGAAAAAAATATTACATATATTCATATTAATTCCAAAATTTTCTGAATATATTTAAACACATTCATCCTCAATAAATATTCTTTTAAAATTCAAGACAATTAATTACTTTCTACAATAATATCGTTGTCTTAATCCATGTTTCTCATTGTCCCTTATTAACAAACTAAAAACTGATCAATTCAACTTATAGCAATTAATCTATACCTATAACTTAAAAACTGACAATAAATAAGCATCCTATGTACTACTATAATCTTTTATTTACCATGGTGTAATGTTTATATATTTGACAATAAATACGAAACTTTACAAGACTAGTCGACGCAGCCCATTGATGACCTTCACTCTGCATCGCATAATACTGATCTTCAAAACCAAAACATATTAAAAATCTTTGCAAGAATTCTAAAATTTATATAATAAATTTCAAAATAATATTCTAGCTCAATGGCCCCAAATCGCTTGTGTATATTGTGGAAGACTCTTATACTCTGAAAAAGCTTTTATAGTTTATCGACTATTTATCTCTTACAAGCTAATATTTCTAATGTTTTTTTATCTTTCAACTCTAATGTTAACCATATTCCCGAGTTAAGAGTTCCTACTTGCACCTTCTATAAAAATCCTTCATCAAGATTTCCATTTCCACACTTATCTCCCATGCCAGAAGAAATTATTTCCATCCCTTTGCATAAAAGAAAACATCTGTCGCCTATTTATTTACATTGTTCTCTAAGAAGAACTCCAAATAGTAACCTTTACTCAGAATACAGAAGGTTAACTAGTATTATGAATTACTCATATAACATTAGAGCCCATATATTATATTCTGGAATTCTAGGTACTTTTTTAGAAACGAATGATAATAACACTAACAATTTAGTCAATAACTCTATTTACAACAAAACTTTATGTCATGCTGCTAACTGGTTAGCCCAGAACAATCCTTACTTTAGTTCATTAGTAAGTAATTTATTATCAAATAAAAGAATCAATCAACTTAATAATCCTTTTCCAAGAGCCACATATATTCCAACTGACTCTGATGCTCCTACTATCAATCTTCGTGATATAATAATACTAAATTATGACTTTTCCAATGAAGTTCACAATGAAGATTTTTATTATACTAGATTAATAGCAAGTTTTGTTCAAGAAAATGATAATTTACGTTTACCAATTTCTACATACGATCCCAACTTGGAACCTTTACTGTTTCCTGATTTATTCACAAATAGAAAAGGCCATTTTTACAATACATTAAACCAGAACTATTCAAATATAATGCGCTCTGAAACATATGGAAAATATATAAAACAACGACTAATGAACATCAACCCAAGATGGAGGCTTCATCATCACTGGCCTTTATGGTTATATCTTCAATTAGAGAAGCTAAAACATTACCAAAACACTCAATGTTTGATATGGCAGAATTATTCAAATTCAACTAATAATGAATGTCTTCTATCAGAAAGAGACCTACTCCATCCTAGTACTTACATCTCATACAATATTGTTAACAAAAATATAACAATTCCTGTTCCTTCCTTTGTACATACAGGTAACACCTATTTCTACCAAAAGCAACTTTATTTAAATACTATGTTGCAAAAATTTGGATTGCCTACTTTATTTATAACTCTAAGCATGGCAGAAAGCCGATAGACTCATCTTTGTGACATACTCCATGATAGTGATAATGGTGACACTTCACTTACCAACAGACCATTTCATTGTACAAATTATTTTGTCCACAGATTTCAATCTTTAAAAAATAAACTCTATAAAAACCAGTCTTCACAATATTTGGTGAAATTACCAACTTCTTTGATAGGATCGAATTTTAGAACAGAGGTGCCGCTTATACACACAGTTGTTACTGGACAACTAATACCATAGAAGACATAATTTCAAATAATATGATAAGATCAACATACCAGACCCTGAACATGAACCCAAGCTCTATGCTGCTGTTATAGCAAACCAAATATATACTTGTGATGCAAGATATCAAGGACTAGCAATTTCAATACAAACATGCAAGAAAGGCTTTCCACGTCCTTTCAGTGAAATGTCACATTATGAAGAAGGAAATTCCCATTATACTTATAAATGCTTAATGCAAGCTGACTCCTGGGTTGTTCCTTATCATGCTCCAACCCTCTTACTCTGGAACGCCCATATGAATGCACAATATATAACCGATAGAGGATTTGTGTATTATATAACAAAATATATCACAAAAACAAAACCATCGCATATATTCAATGTTTATAAAAATGACCTATTGAGAGAACATATAATTGCGCGAAAACTCAGCTCAATGGAACTTATGTTTCTGCTTCTAGAATATCAAATATGCAACTCTTCTGCTATGGTAAAATTTCTCACAACCAAACCTCCTCTTACGAGATCATATGCAGTGCTTTC